CCACCCCCAACGAACCTATCTTCCTGGTCAATAACCTCGCTGTGCCGTGTGCCGTGTACCCGCGACATAATCGGCTACCATCGCGTTTCGGATCAACGTGCTTCCACATAGCACACGTGTCTCTTCTTTTCTTCTTTTTTTCTATTTGCACCTTCTAAATTTATTTCCGTACGCTGTATAGCAGTTTTGATTTTCTTCTTTAACGCTGGAGTACGTATCGTTCTGTTACAGTTAACGCACAACGCTTCCGGATAATAGTTCGTACTTGATTTTAGGATGCTCTGCGCTAATTTCAAGAGCTCAGTTTCCATCGATTACATTTATCGCGCGAAATATATATACTAGCTGAAAACTGGGTACTTTAAAGTAAATACAGCCAGACTCGTAACTAATTTTCGTTTTCTAAAACCGAACAATAGCAACGCAGGGTTGAACTTCGTCTCGTTACTTTCTAAACTTTCTTTCAGTCGTTCTTCTTACTTATTGGTCAATCTTCGTGTAGGTGCACTAAAGGCGTATAGGTAAATTTAGCTCCAAGCGAACTACAGCTTTAATGTCGAACAATTCTGCGTGAATTTCGAAATAAAAGTATTCGAAGAACGGGGATCACAAATGACGTGGAAAGAAATATAAAAATTGAGTGCCCGGATTGTTCACGCTAGGATTAAAGAACGAGTTTGTATTTCTAGAGGGGATGAAAGAGGAAGCGATTGATCGACGAGTATCCGGAGCTCTTATTCTCCCGCGTTGCATCACAGTTTCGTTCCTTCTTCACCCGTGTTTTCCTTTCTACGAGGTGAGAAAAGAAACGACGACGTCGTTTTATCGAGTGTCGCCGACGCGCTACGACAACTTCTTATTTGCTCGTCTTCGTCTATACTCGTTTCAAATGAAAATTTTAATTCGATTCGGAATTCCTTTACCTTTCGAATCTCCTTTCGTGTCTATCGCGCATCAGAGAACAAGTACGTGCGCTATCTTCGTGGACAAAAATTAACGTGATACGTATCTTCGTTCTTTAAAGACGGTCATATCTTGGTTAAATTGTATCGCGCGTCTCTGCCAACTACTGATACGACGGCAGAAATTTCTCTCGCCATCCTGACTATTGATCCTCTCTCTAGCAAGCTGATAGAATTGTTACAACCTTCCTTCCTTCGAAACGCGTTCCTGCGTTTTCCCCTCAACTGCAGCAGCGAGTATTCTACGGCTGTTGTGTTCTTCGAAATTATAACGGACCGATCCAGATTCCGTAGACGCGACAATTTCAATGAAATTTCGTGATATTATCTGCTTTGAAAGCATACAAAAACGAACGAGGCAGAAAATTTTGTTGAGGCTATAGAAGAAATATTCTCTTAGAAATGGAATACGCGAATAAAAATAATAAGAAAAACGCGATCGGATCGATGAGGGAATTTTTCGAGGGCGAGAACGATGTTCGGCGAAGAGAGTGCCATCCGTAGGGTGGCGCCATCTGTGCCGGTCGTCGGGAAACTCGTCTTAAAAATCACCCCCCTAAGATCAATACACCGTACGGGTAGACAGTAAGTCTACGGAACGCGACCGAAATGCCCCAGAAGGTTACATCTTTTAATTTTCACCGCTTTTCTTGATAATTTAGAAACACGGTGCAAGCAGAATGCGGGTACAGCGTGTACATAATAATTTCTCGAGTACGACCACGTGCATAGTTCGAGAACTTAATTGTAAAAATTCGGAACTTTAATTAATCTCTCTCTCTCTCTCTTAGACGATGTATACCTTTCCATTTCGCAATTCGAATTGACCGATCTTCTCTGCTGAAGCAAGTATATTCTCCGACGTAGTTGGAAAACGGAATTGAAGTATGTTATTAGAACAGCGATTAATAAACTGTGAATATCCACGCAGATTCAGATTATCATGACGTTTCCACTAGAGGGATTGAATCCAAATATTATAATTAACACGCTGTACTCTGAACATTCCGTACAATCCTGCGTATTACGTACATTTTCTACGTTCGATTTTTCCACGTATGCACAAACATCCGCAATCTGATTAGCTTTTCGTTCGTATTTCGCCTAATATTCCGCTGTTCGTAACAATGCCGAGCAAGGTTTCTCTGTTTACGGACGAATCGGCGGACGCAGGTGTTCGAACGATTTAGAATATCACGCGCTTTGGAAGCCATAGAAGAAAAAGGAAGGAAAAAAGGATGCATAGTAAACGAGCGAGGAAGACCTGTGAATTCGGGTCAGGCATTTGGCTTACGAGGGTAGTTTCCAAAGGTTTCCTCTCTCTTTGGAATCTCCGCTTTGCGGCTTCTAACGAGATAATTTGATTTTCAGGTTGCACAAAGCACTGCTTTCTCTCTCTCTCTCTCTCTCTCTCTCTCTTCCCCCTCCTGTCTCTCCATCCTCTTTCCGCTCCACTCGAGATCTCTTATGTTTTCACACAAACTTTTTTCACCGCTTAATCGGCAGCAAAGTCAGTACGCGGCCGATCAATCGATCGATCGCCAACTGTATCGCGAGTACGATGTATCGTTTCATTAGATCACCGCTTTCGACATGGTTCCACATAGATTTTTAACGAATTACGGTTTTTCGATAACGAAAGTTTGAAAAACGCAGCCAACGATGGGCAAAGAAAGTTTTTAGGTAGAACACGATGGAACAGCCATTGTTTGCAGTTTCAGCGATATTCAAAATGCATTTGGAATAGATTCAAGTTACATACGTGTACAACCTGCTAACAATAACGATCGATCACCATTTGTTGGTATACTTTCTCGCGGCATGAGATGCGCAAATAATTGTTTTAAAATCGAGCACAGTGCAACGAGCATAATTAAACTTGTCGTAACGTCGCACGATTTAGTTTTCATCAGTAATGTTTTTTCACGCTCCGAATTCGCGTTTTATGGCATAATTCCTCGTGGAGAACACGTAGAATTTCAACTGAAATTCTACGCATTAGTCTTCTGAATTAGTCGCGTCTAATTTGCGATTTGCCAGTCCAGTTTGCGTTGAATTAAAATTAAACGGTTCACATTGTAACATCAGACCTTAATCGCATCTCTGTGCGCGTGTTTCCATTAATTAATTCTTTATCCTAATTTCCATCGTTGCAACGTACAATGAAACTTTGTGTGATAAATGAAAGAGTCGTTTCTGTAATTTGAAGATCATTATTTAGAGGCACGACAAATAGAGAGATGGTTACATAATTTGTCGAAAATCACTTGTCCCAAAGGTAAAAGGTGACTCGTTTGGTGGCGGATTAATTCACGAAGTCCCCTCCTACGCCGCCAATTCGAACGATGGCGCCGCCATTATTTGGCATTCTTCGTTCCTGCCGCATTCAAGCTTCAGCAAAGAACAGCAGCATCGAGGGCGAAATCCTCGCTTCGTCGGATCGTCGAAATTCTTCAAAATCGCTATATTACCTTCGCATCCTCTCGCGTCGTTCTAAACAAAGCAACAGATTTTCGAATTCGAGCAATGGCAAAAATGATTCCTTCAGGCTTTCCCCGTTTCCTCGTCGTCGAAAAAAATTGTCAGGATGACTGTTGAATTTTCAATGTGTGCTTCAGCAGAGGAATGAAACTGGAATTAATTAAGGCTAGACGACTACGGACGCGCACTTGTAATTATAATTGCCGCCACGCAGACGGTGTCGCGTCACCCTACGAGATCTACGATCATTAGAATCGCGAATCGAGCGTCGATCAATACGAAGAACAACTGGACCTTTCATTTCAATATCGTTGCACCGCGAACGATACTACTTCTGCGGTCGATATCAAAAGCTATACTTTCTGAAATAAAATTCTTTTCCTTTCTTATCTATCTTTACACCATGATATAATACCGTCGAATTTACTAAAAGTATTCCCTCGGTGATATTGACCGCAAATGAATTTAAAAGACATACACAATTTCCTGGTGATAGAAAGTCTTTCGCGCAGTTCTGGCGACTCGAGCATTTTTCCAGCGAGCATGAAACAATCATGCAGGCTGGATGATTATTCGAGAAGCGCGTTGTACAGCAGAACGGCGAGAAACACAGGGCTTGGTTTAATATTGACAATGGCAACGACAAAGTTCCTAACGGGACTGGGGCTGAGGGTTTACAGAGGGGCGATGGCACGGAGTAAGCAGCTTATTGCGAGCGACGCAGTATGGATTTTCAGCGACGTTGCTGTTTGACGTTGACTTCTATCCGATGCGCAGTCGAGACATCTCTACCGAAAAACTCTTACATCGCTGGATGAAGGCTGGCATATCCGCGAAAGCTTCTTTCCTTTGTATCATCCCGAATATCGAGACCAACTTGGTCAACTACTACACTTGTTCCTGACACTTTGCTGTCGTTTCATTGCACGAGAGATGTTTGGATAACCGTCCACTCTGTTGCTTCGTGCATCTCCTCTTCCTTAGTTCTATCGCTTTCTCCCTTCTTTTTAACAACGATCGTCGGGCGTGTATTTTAGACTACGGTTATAGCAAAAGAGTGTTCTGACGATCAGTTATTTCGATGAATATATCGAAACAAAATAAATATGCATAGAGAATATCAAAGAATATGTAGAAAATGTTTGTAGATAAAACGATGAAAGGAATTGGAGTACGATGTCATTTTTCAAGTTATATACTATTTCATTTTACTTTGAGATAAAAATCTAAATAAGTGACATAGAATATGGATAGGATTTCGGTTGTTGCGTTAACAGAATGTGAAAGACGAAGCGTGAGTAAGTAAAGTACAAAATAAAGAGAAAGATACGTCGGCTCAAGGACATTTTTATACGCGAACCTTTTACACCGCTTTGATGTCTACAGTCTCTATAAACATCCTCACGTATCTTCCGACACTCCGTATAGATTCTTACGCATGTATGCATACATTTTGATCTCTGGGTGTTTCGTTCGTCAGAACAGCAGTTCATAGGATCAGAACACGCATTCATTGTAATCATAGTATAACGTTTAACATGGTTCCTTCGTTTTCAGATAATCAAACGACACAAGTTGAAGCCAGCGATTCACTTGGACAATCGGTACCGGTTAATGAGAAACGAGCCTATGCTGGACGCGGACGGAAATGAAACCGATCAAATCGGCGAGGACGAAACTGCACCACCTAGCCCAGAGGAAATACTCGCTATAATGGAAGAAAAGGGTCACGATTATTTTACCATGCGTTTACCACGGCTAAAGATTACGGAATAGAAAACCTTGTATCGCGTTCGAATTATTTTCTCAAATACCAATAAATAATTTCTCCTTTCGAACTTACGTTCAACTAAATGTAAACTTAGCGCATCTATTCTGTTACATCGTGGAATCCAGCTTGTTGCACAGTAGAAAAGAAAAGAAAAGAAGTAAGAAATAATTTTACGAGCGAAGAATGCTAAGATATCAGGTTTTATAAGTTGACGTATGACCTGGCTAGAAGGAAATAATATTTTTTTCAAGATATAGGCCAACTTTTTCCATGCGAAAGAAGCGTACACGCTGTATCCATGCGGAAGAGGACCGCGTAGCTGGCACGCCAGGTGTGTGGTAGTTTGTAGAAAGCGAGAAGCGAGCAACCCTCTTTTGATGTCCGATGGTAGCTAGTCCAACGTAGGTAGGCAGCTGTTGCACGTTCCACTACGAGATTATAAAGAGCTGTACCGTGAAACGATGCTTCGATGAAAATTCTCGACACTTTCAACTATGCTCCGCGTATACACAAAAACAGTAATATCCTCTCGTTTTTCGCGCTTCTCGTTACAAAGTTCCAGAGTTTCGGTATTCTATTCCGTTTCGTTATGGGAGATTCGGTCTGCTGTTGAAATTTTTTTGCTGCATAATTCTTGCTGAGCGAGTATGCATCATTCACGTCACTCCAACATTTCTATACAGTCTCGAGCAGGCGGGACAATTTTAATTTTCGTTGGAATATGTCGATACATTGGATGCATTAGACCTCACAAAAGACAGACATTTCTCGATCTACGGATCCAATAAGGGCGATTTGATAAGGAAAGAGAAAGCTAGTCAATGAATGTCAATCAAGCAATGCGTATCGCGTAGACCCACGTCATTCATATTCACTTCCTCCGTAAACTCGCTTTAATCAGTTACATGGAGGAGAATCAGTTAATCCGTCGTTCGGAATTACCAATCTCTTGAACGCGACACTTTCTTTATTTAGAATTTCATATATCTTCACTCATCTTCATTAAAAATAAATTACATTGTATTTACGTTTGAAAGGATCGAAACCGAAACCGATTTAATTGAAATTGACTTGTCCTTACTAATGTTTAATTCTCTATTTACAGTAGCTTCTGAGGGTTCGTATTATGTGGAAACAAAAATTGTCACGTACCAAGCAATCCAGCAATTTCCAAACGATAATTCGCGCTCGGTTTTCGAATCGAGCGTGACTAAGACAGATTAGCGGACACCGAGAGATACGAGGCTCTATCCCGGTCGAAAATTATGTAACACACGGAGAAATACGTTCGAATGAACATTGACCGGAATGGCGGGCTCGTCTATTCTCGATATCGATGTCCCATAGACGGGTTAAATCGTTCGCACACACCGCGAACGTTTCTAATAACCAGATAATTTCGCAACGATAATACAATCCAAACCTCGATCTATGATCTCACCCCGTTCACGGGGGTATAGCGTGCTACTTCGAATTAGTTTTGGATAATTTCCAGCACTTTGTAACTAGCATACTAACAAACGATCGTGTGCTTTATACGAATAAAACGCTCGTCGTCGCGTGTAATTTGGATAAAATCCAAAGCGTTACGCGATTTCGTCCGTTATCATTTTATTCCAAATAAGAACGCGATTATATTCGGAGTTTCCTGGTTCCTTGCGCGATGCATTCTTAACGATAACGCTAGAATTCTTTTCGCCCATTAGGGAAATCGATAAGCAGAGGTGAAATATCGCTTCTTCGTTAAAAGTACAGGTAGGTATACGCGTAGGATTCTTCGGCATTAACGGTACAAAGAAAGGTACTGGCCGACACTTCGCAAACAAGTTGGACTCTGAAACTGTGTCATTGAAAACACAACTGACCATCGCAGGACTATGGCTTATTTCCGATATAACGAGTATATAACAGGATTGATAATGACTATATGAAGGTCAGGCCAGGTGATAGTCTGTGCAAAGCGATTAAGAGGGGCTCCCTTAATGCGGCGAAAGGTAGGAAGGTAGGTAGGTTAGCGACAGCTGTTACTCGTCCCTGCACGAGAGGCCATACATCAGAGCTATACATTAGACAGCGTGTTTGGATCGTTTAACGCGGTTCAGCAAGTGGACCCTTCCACGAGGTTGCAGCCTGGACCAGGCCTGCGTTACCTCCGACATCGTCGTCGGGGGCAGCATGTGCCTGGACAAAGAGCTCATTCAGCCACGGACAATGGCCTTGGCTGGAGAGGCCGCTGCAACAAGCCTGCCTCCTGCCTGTCTGCCTGTGCCTTCTCTGTCTTCTCTGCACATGGCCTGCAATCAAGCTTTCAGAATACTATTTTTCCAATCGATCCGACATATCGGGCAATCGTCATCGATTAATTAACACATTCACGACCATTTTGTATTGAATCGATTTCATCAGGTTGAACGCAGATTAACAACGACAATTATTCCGCATTGAATCGATTCAACCGGGTTGAATGGTAATGTGTATTGTTGTAGTATAATGATGTACAGGGAGACTATGTTAGAATATGATTTCGAGATTAGGAAAATTCAATTATGTAAGCAAATTCAAATATTGTGGTTGTGCGATGAATGTGACGACAAATTATTGAAAGAAACAAAGAGATACTAAGGTTGCTATTTTGTCTTTTCCTTGAATCGTCACGTCTGTCCTACGCGACGAAGGTTGCTAACTGCTTTCTCGATAATGCAAGTACCGTTTTTCTGTCCATTCTATTGTCTTCGTCGACCGAGGCTATGAATGAGTGACAGAATGCAAGTCTAACGGATCGAAAGTCGACAAATGAAGAAAGAGATCGAAAGATGCCAGTGAAGTTTCGCATGGACAAATAGAAAGGAAGGAAGGATAGAAAAAGAGGAGCGTTCATGTTCCCTTTTTCCGTCCATTTCGAAAAGCCCTTTTAGCGAGCAATTTACAGACTGGCTCTCAGACCTGCTATACCGTACAGCGTACAGCAACTGACGGTGCGCGAAAGGGAGAGCGAAAAGGAAAGAAAACGAATTCGCTCGCCGAAGCGGGAAAGTGAATCGACGCCACTGTTCACGACCGAACATGCCTCGTTTATGCTCTTTCTTTCTCTTCTGCTTACCTTCTCGCGGCAAAATGTAACCTCAATCGCATGGTTGCAACAGTGTCTCACGGACCAATGATCTCTGTCTAATCTAGTGATAATTCTTAGTTGAAATGTTTTAGTAATGTTGAAAATTAAAAGACTGAAAAACATCGCTAATAAGAAAAATAATATCGTAACTATTCCCTCCTAGCAACTTATCTATTTCGTCTCAGATATCTTCAGTTTATCATATCTATTTTAATATCTATTTCCATTTCGATTGCTTAAGCTCTGTTCGTTTTTTCAAATGGTTTCATTAAAATTCGCAAAAGCGAAAACGCAACAGTTGCGTCTATAACCTACCAACGAGAGTCAGATAGCTAAGTTTTAGATAATTAACCGTTTGAGTCCCACTGGTCATTGAAAGAATAGGGCCGAAAAATCCCGAACTTGTTTTAATCAATTGCGAAGAGAAACAAGCGATACGATAGCGCTCGTCACATTTGTTACTTTATGGAATATATCTATATTATTATATATGTGTACTACTAGTTTATAAATATTTCAAGTTTTGTTCAATAAAAGTTATTGAGAAGATAACTATGAAATGCAAAATACCGTTAGTCGTCAGTAGCGTTCAAATGTACTGGGACTTTTCGACACAAAATCTAAACAGCGCGATCGCGCTACTTGAGATTCAAACAGTTAACCTCCTAGGTACGATACGCCACTATAGTGATTTTCGTGGATGTTATGTTATATTACGACGCGCCACTATAGTGGTTCACTCTACTGATTCATTCGCTTACCGTTTGAACCGTCTGATCTTTTTCATTTGTCTTGCTTCACACTTTTTTTGCCCTCACAACATTTTATAACAGTGTTAACAATATACAGACAACATATGGTCTTTGTTTTTGACATGCCAGTGTCAGGTATTAATTGTTGCTTTTCGTTAAAATAAATATACCATTATTAGATGCTCTTTTTAACATGCCGATCCTTATCCTTATAATTTTTTAGAATCTTCAACCTCAAAATGTCGCTTCAAAATGGAAAATTAAGAACAATTTGACAGACACTATCGCGCTATGAGTGTGAAAATTGTAACGTGGGTCTATGTGTCGTACTGTGCTTTAAAATATATCGCACTCAATTATATTATTAATTATTAAAGTAAATTATTAAAGTTAAAGTATATGCATCGCATTTTTAAGAAAAATTATAATTTAGTTATCAAAAACTTCGTTCCAATGTGCTTGGGTGAGAACGGCATTATCCGTCACACATTACAGTGATGTATCGTTTACGCGTAATTCGCGTCAAACTCTACCGTACAGAGAAACAACCCAGCGCAAAAGCCGTACCTAAGAGGTTAAGAGGACACAACGTATGCGTGAATATCAGCAAACGTATTAAATCGCTACTTCGTTAAAACTGCAAAGAATTTGAAAAGTTTGATACGCAAAGATAACACGCACATGTGGCGAATCGGCTTAATTCGCGCGGACATTCCATTAGAAACAACGGCGAACTTTAATTTCCGTTGAAAAATCGCAAACTCGTTACCTCGTACCGTTAATTAATCGCATCCGGAACAGCAAAAACCGTTCCAATCTTTTTTCTAAACGGATTAACACTTGTTGATCGAGATACGCACGTTCCAGGCTGTCGCTGGTTTAATCGTGGCGCGTTTATCGTCACGCGAACGCACAGAGCAAGCGTTTATGTTCGCTGTACAATAGTCAACGTGTTTCTTAGGAGGAACATCAGCGAGTTTGATTAATACGTGTTTTCTGTTCGCATTATCGGATATTCTCTCCGAATGAAAACG